TAGTATTTTAGTTGGTGATTTGTACAATTTACAAACACAGTTTGTGGAATCTGTTTTCTTACTCGCAGAGATTAAAAAAATCAAGATTAATAGAATAAAAAGTGGTGTTAGGTGGTTCCTGCTTTTGGCAATTGTCACACCTATAAACTTTACTCTGGGCCCTGAACTCTGCCAAACAGTTCTAGAAGGTAAAGTGGGAATCAATTTCTCCCCCACTAGTACCCACAGGCAAGAGAACTTTATAGAGCTTTGGAACTTGTCTTCATTTTTTTTAGAGATTCAGAAGGTGGTGGTGGTTGTTAGGTGCTGTCAAGTCGGTACCAACTCATACTGACTCTGTACACAACAGATCAAAACACTTCCTGGTCCTGCGCCAACTTCACAATCATTACTACACTTGAGCGCATTGCTGCTGCCACTGTGCTGATCCATCTTGTTGTGGGGGGGGGGGTCTTCCTCTTTTTTGTTGACCCTACACCTTTTTTTGTCATTGTAAATATACTTTTTATTTTATTCTATTACATTTTTTTGACCCTACACTTTACCAACCATGATGGCCTTCACTTGGGACTGGTCCCCACTGATAATATGTCCAAAGTATGAGAGACGAGGTCTGGCCATCCTGGCTTCCAAGGAGCATTCTGGCTGTACTTCTTCCAAAACCATATTTAATATTCTCCTCCAACACCATAACTCAAATGCATCCGTTCTTCTACAGTCCTCCATATTCACTGTCCAACTTTCACATGCATACAAGGCTATTGAAAATACCATGGCTTGGGTCAGGTGTACCTTAGTCCTCAAGCTGACATCTTTGCTTTTGTACACATTAAAGAAGTCTTGTACAGCAGATTTGCCCAATGCATTACATCATTTGATTTCTTAACTGCTCCTTCCATGAGTGTTGATGGTGGTCTAAGCAAAATGAAGTCTTTGACTTCAGTGTTTTCTCCATTTCTCATGAGGTTATATATTGGTCCAGTTATGAGGATTTTTGCTTTTGTTACATTGAGGTGCAACCCATACCAAAGGATGTGGTCTTTGATCCCCATCAGTACCTATTTTTAAGTTTTCTTTGCTTTCAGCAAGCAAGGTTGTATCATCTGCATATTGCAGGTTGTTAGTGGTGCTTCTTCTAATCCTGATGACACATTCTTCTTTATATAATCTAGCATCTCAAATTGTTTGCTCAGCATACAAATAGAATATGATGAAAGACTACAACCCTGGCACACACCTTTTCCAATTTTAAACCATTTAGTGTTCACTTGTTGTGTTCAAACAACTGCCTCTTATACAGGTTCCTCATGAGCATAATTAAGTGTTCCAAAATACTTGTTCTCCACAATGTTGTCCGTAGCTTGTCATGATCCACACACTCAAAAGCCTTCGCATAGTCAATAGGCGATAGAAAAAATTTTGCTTTGGGCTGGAATTAGTAATAATTTTTCTTTCTCTTATAGCACTGAACAAGATTTGTGATGAAATGGAGCCTGGAACAAACTCTTTTCGAGTAGAATTTCCTGATTTTTCCAGCACCATTTTACAGAAATTGAACCAGCAGCGCCAACAAGGACAATTATGTGATGTCTCCATTGTTGTCCAAGGGCACATTTTCCGGGCACATAAAGCTGTTCTTGCTGCCAGTTCCCCCTACTTTTGTGACCAGGTACTCTTGAAAAACAGCAGGAGGATTGTTTTACCTGATGTGATGAACCCAAGAGTGTTTGAGAACATTCTTCTATCTAGTTACACAGGCCGTCTAGTAATGCCTGCCCCAGAAATTGTTAGTTACTTAACAGCAGCAAGCTTCCTCCAGATGTGGCATGTGGTGGACAAGTGTACTGAGGTTTTAGAGGGAAACCCCACAGTCCTTTGTCAAAAGCTAAATCATAGCAGCGACCATCAATCTCCAAGCAGCAGCAGCTATAACGGTCTGGTAGAGAGCTTTGAGCTGGGCTCTGGGGGAAATGCTGATTTCCCCAAAGCTCAGGAATTGAGGGATGGAGAAAATGAAGAGGAGAGTACCAAAGATGAATTGTCATCTCAGCTCACCGAGCACGAATACCTTCCCAGCAACTCATCTACAGAGCATGACCGGCTGAGCACTGAGATGGCCAGCCAGGATGGGGAGGAGGGGGCCAGTGACAGTGCCGATTTCCACTACACCCGACCCATATACAGCAAGCCCAGCATAATGGCTCATAAACGCTGGATCCATGTGAAGCCTGAGCGCTTTGAACAGGCTTGCGAGGGCATGGATATGCACGCCACTTATGATGAGCACCAGGTCACTGAGTCCATCAATACCATGCAGACAGAACACTCAATCCAGCCTTCAGGAGTAGAAGAGGACTTCCACATCGGGGAGAAAAAAGTAGAAGCAGAGTTTGATGATCAGGCTGAGGAAGGCAATTATGATGAACAGGTGGATTTCTATGGGTCTTCCATGGAAGAGTTTTCTGGAGAGAGGTCAGATGGGAATCTAGCTGGGCACAGACAAGAGGCTTCCTTATCAACAGGCTATAATGAGAATATCGAAATGGTAGCAGGAATTAAAGAAGAAGCTTCCCACTTAGGATTTTCAGCCACTGACAAACTGTATCCTTGTCAGTGTGGGAAAAGCTTTACTCACAAGAGTCAGAGAGATCGACACATGAGCATGCACCTCGGTCTCCGGCCTTATGGCTGTGGTGTCTGTGGTAAGAAATTCAAAATGAAACATCATCTTGTAGGACACATGAAAATTCACACGGGCATAAAGCCATACGAGTGTAATATCTGTTCAAAGAGATTTATGTGGAGGGACAGTTTCCACAGGCACGTGACTTCTTGTACCAAGTCCTATGAAGCTGCAAAGGCTGAGCAGACTACAACTGAGGCTAACTAAAAATATCTGGCCCTTGAATGGCGTGCACAAAAATAAACTATGGTAATTATGCAAATGTGGGCACAGATGATGCGTGCTACTTGCTATTATGAGAGAAGCTTAAAAAAAAAGATATTTCTGAAAGACCAGTTCTAAGCAGGCCAATTAAAAAGTCTTAATTCCTCAAATTTTGTATCTTCCCATCCTGGCCTAGAGGAGGTAATGGGGGCAAGTTAACAGAGCTCCCCACTGGCAAGGTTAACCTTCATGCCAGTAGTGCTTGAGGCAAGTGGACTTCATGCAATGGACCCTGCACTTGGAACTGGACTCCAGCCCACCAGTTCCATTTCAGGTGTTTGGTCACACATCATTACAAGGTCATGTTGCAATTTTATTTTGTTTTTACTTAAACTTAAGTAATGTGGATTTGTTCTGGCAGCTGCTTCACTGAATGAAATGCTCCTTTTATAAAAGTCTCAAATAATGGTATTCCTAGAATGAGAAATGAACAGAGCTCTCTGGTCTGGTTTTATTCTTTCGAAAGGATAAACTAAAGCTATGGAGATGCTAAGAGGGTGACTTAAGGTACAAGCTTTAGTTTCTGTAAGATGCCACTGTCACGGTGTATTTCAGACTCTTGATAAAACAAAGTTTTATATTTTGTACTGAAATTAAGTTTGAACACTTGTACCTAGAGTGTCATTCTCTAAAGTGCCAGAGTAATTGGTTTTGCTGACCCAAATCCTGTTCATTTAATTTTACATCAACAATATTGGATCTGTGGCTAGTGATTCTAGTCTGGTGTGACTAACCTGGTTCCATTGGCTGCTCCAGCCATTGCCCTCTCTTAGATTGTACTGCTTCCCAAAGAGGGCAGTCATGGACTACAGTTAGTGGTAAGGTGCCAAAAGTCAGGACTAAGAGTTACCTGTGAACTTCAGGACTTAATCAGGTACTACAGTGACATTTCAACTGTCAAAATGAGAGAGAAAAAAGAAGAATTTTCTGAGTGGCAGGCTATAGTTGAGGGAGGAAACTGCCCAAGAAAAGAGGAGTCTTGACAATACACTGGTTGGAGGATGCTCTTTTAAAGAGGGGTACACTGGGTGAATGCTACCCATTGTTTAGGATGCTGAGATGTCTTTTAAAAGGGGGAAAGAAGGATGTCCTGAATTTAGCAAAGTAGTCTATAAATTCATGCTCACAAATTATAGATAAAGCTGCATGAATTTACAAGTCCAGATAGCTACTAAAAACAAGAAATCAGCCATTCTGAGATTTTTTCTGCCAGTCAGATGTTTTAAATTAAAAAGAACATCTATTCAGAATGCTTTTAAGCTATGTAATATACCAGGGTAGGACTGGGTGCTACTATTATGTCAACTTTTCCTCAAACATACTGGTCTATTCTAAATTCTAAGGTGAAACTTTTTTGTCTTTTAAAATAAAAATAACTTTTTTTTTTTTTTTTTAATTTGGGGTGAAATTTTGTTTTGAAGGTTTGGCTTTGCTCTAACATGATATAGACTTTGCTAGCAGTGGCCTCTGAGCCTCAAGCTACTAATACCAAGATCATGGTCTGGAAAGGGAAAAGTACTGATTTACCAGTTAATTCTTGTAACCAGGATTACAAAACAGGGATCTATTCACTAACACTGTATCATTCTTGATATATAAAAAGCACTTTGTATTTAAAACTTTATTATATATATATATATATATATATATATATATATTGTTTTTTAACCTAGAAAAACTAGATATTACCTCTTGGTTGTTTGCCACATTAATATCATCTTTCAGCAGTCCTTTCTCTGTGTACCTGACAGAAGTGTATAGAAGTGACTGTACAATCAAGCTCAATTGCTTCTCCTTTTCTCATATTAGAGGCCAATGGGTTTTAGCTATATCTCAGTTGTGTGTAAAGAAAAATTGTTTTATTACTCCCACAAGTTTTAGTACTAAGGCAGTGAAGCCATTATGTTCAGCCCAAAACTAGTCATACTTCCCCATGGTATTCACAAAATATTTTCTGCCTGTTTGGAACTTTATATGTACTATTTTCCTTTAAAGACATTTGAGGAGAGCAATCTGAGAGCTACAGTTTTTAAATTCTTGAAAAATCATGGTCCTTCAGTATGTTGAAGACAGCACAGTACCTTGTCATAAGTAATGATAAAGAGCTTTGGTTTAGCCAGGAATGATGGCCCAGCTTTGAGTGCTAGCTTTGGAAACAATCAATTGGGCTGGTACTTACTTAATGCTTGTAAAGAGATGAGTATTTTTTATTGAAATCCTTACATCAGCTACGAAATGTAAAACATAATATGTAAATTCCTCACATTGTGTGGCACTGTAGGATAAGCACTGGACTGCTACTGCAAGGTTGGTAGTTCAAACCCACCAGCCACTCCTTGGAAATCCTATATTAGTTGAAACTGACTCTATGGCACTTAACAACTATTTTAAGAATTTATGATAATTGTAGGTTTTGGTAAACATTGAAATTGCTAATTGGGTCAGTCAGACCCTGTGAGATAGTTGGACAACTGAATGTTGGTTGTGTTCAGAGAGGCAGGGGAAGGGGGATTGCCTTAGTTTGGATATTTAAAATGAATTTTTATAAACCAAGTTTTTAGGATTAAGAGATCATACTGCATTGCTACCTTTTTTTTTTCCCTTCTCACTCTGGGTTGGAGTGATAATCTCTCTCCTTAACCTCATTCAGCTTTAGAAGATTTTTATCCTTTCATATCAGTTTGGATAGTTGTGGGTAACATTTTCCAAACAGTCTTTCAGGGATCATTTCAATGGCTTACAACCAAGGTGTTTTTCCCCTACTTTGAATCTTAACTGTGCTTTTTTTCTCCAGTTCCAGTGGCTTCAAAGCACCACCAGTGGTATTTCATTTTAGTACTTATGCCTTTAATTTTTGATATATGTTATAATAACCTACTTGGTTAAAGTAGGTATCACCATCTAAGGAAGGACGGAGATACCCTCTTTTGTGGGTTAGCCTTAGGCACTCATGGTTATCCGCCTGTTGATTCTCATTCTAGAGTTGCCTGCCTCCACTCCCTTCTTTTGGCCACCATTTAAGAGTCTGCCCAAAAGAGTCCCCTCTGTTCTGGTAGGCATTTGCTGAACTAAACTGACCCAAGTTTACTTCTGTCTATTAGGCAAAGATGCTTAACCTCAGTGGCTCCTTCCTATGGAGGCAAGCACACCCATAATTTCCTGCTGAAGTGAAGTGGAGGCAGAACAGAAGCATCATAGCTGCGCTTTGCCTGGGAAGGGGGATGTGCTCTAGCCACCTGGGTGAGGACGGAGAGGGCTCCATCATGCCAAATCCAGGTGTTTGCTTTTATAAGGTCTCTGATATTAGGAATGCTGGAGACCAAGCAACATACACGACCCACCTCCCTTCAATCTGTGCCACTAATATTGTGATCCTCATTAGGTGACTAACTTTGTTCAGTGAAACCAGGGTTTTTTTTCTTCACTACTTATATATTTAAAGGTACATATTTCTTATTTCAAATCTCTACTGATCGTGCCCTGTGGGAAGATGCTGGAACACATTTTACAAAATGTGATTTTTTTTTTTTTTTAAGTTGTGCTTGAAGCCTGTGTCATGTCAGTTGCTGCTGCCTTCTTTCCTTTTATGATGTTCCCAATGTTTCTTCCAGAAAATAATTTATGCAAGTCAGGTGACTCTTAGGCCACTTAACCATTTGATGATATACAGATTATCATTCGGTGCATATCTTATTGATATTTTGTGAAATGTTATGCCTGTGTTGCAAAAGTTGAACAGTTTTGTCTTTATATATTGCTGTCTTCAGTGTACAGCATGGTTTTACTTCATTGAATGTTACTGTTTAATATTTTCTTCTTATAGAAGAGACCATGCCCTTTTGTATGACATGTTTTAATAAATGTTATCTGTCAACTTTGTAAAAGTTTTGTTTTTCACTCTGGGTAGATAACCACTTGTCTGTATTTTCATTCTAGCTTTTGCCACCTGAGAATAAAAGTTATATATGGCCTTTTGAAAAGTAAATACCAAATAGATAGTGTGATCAAATTGACAGTGAGTTACCATTTTCTGTGCCAAATTATTATTTCATTTTAAACTTCTGCCAAATCCATAAGGTAGGTAAGTGTGCTGCTGGGTAATCTATGTTTGCTCCTTGAGACTCATTTCCTACCTTTCCACCCTGCGCTTTGCTCCAGGAAACTGGCCTTTGGTCAAGATCTGAAGAGGCACTGAGGGAAGGAACATTGAGGAATGAGAGGAGAGAGATGTGAGGAACTTACTCCTCTAGCTCCCTGTAGGCCGTGGCTGGGGTGCTCTGCCAAGGGTACAACTGTCAGGCAGCCTCTGGATTTGGTAACCACACCCTCCCCTTGTCCCTTCAAACCTAGAAGTGGTCCTGATTCCCTGTTGTACCAGTCCTGGGGTGCTTCAGTGTCTTCATTGGATTTTCCTAACTGCCCACAGTCTTGTAAATTTCCTTTATGAAATTCTTCTCAGTTACAACCCATTTGAATGTGCCATTTGCTTTCTGCCAGGACCCTGGCTGGTGGGTATCCTCATTTCACACATGAGCCAACTTATTCAGAGAAGTTGGTACACTACCAAAGGTCATACAGCAACTATGGGGGCGAGCCTTGCCTATAACACATGGTGGTTTTCAACTCTGCTCTGTAATGCCTCCTTGCTGTTTGGTTGGGTATCTGCCTCACCTCACTGTGCCCTCACTTTACTCACCCTCCCCCAACCTCAAAAAAAAAAAAAAAAAAAATCCTAGAGAAGTAGCTACAGTACTCCTTTAAAAAGTGCTGCAGGCACTGAGGACCCCACATATTTCCTAACAACAGCTCATTACCAGAGACACTGCTTGTTTTAGATCAAACTTAACCATCTTCCCACACAAACCTTCTGTTACCACTGTTTGTTGTGAGGTGGTTTTTTTTCCCCCTTCCCTGTTGCTGATTTTTAAGCCAACTACAGATTG